TCTTCTTCTCTCTCTCTTCCTCCTCTCTCTCTCTCTCACCTCTCATATTAATCTAATTCATTTCATTTCAATTCATTCCAATTCATGTTGTGTGGTAATTGAAATGAATTTAAAATTAAAAAGCACAGACGAAAAGAACAATATTTCTGAATTTTAGTATCAATTATTTACATTCAATTTTATCAGTGCTGTAAAGGTCAAAAAAAGGAATGCACATATGGCTTAAATGTATTGTATTTTCATCATAACATAAAATTATTTAGAATTTCATAAATTAAATATTATTTGGTACTTAATTATGATATAAAAAGTATGATCAGTTAACTAGTTGATTAATTATATTTTTATCATATTGCAGCGTCAAATCGAAGTGCTTCATGGTAATCGTGAAGATGCATTCATATGTGGAAAAAATGTTGAATATGGTAGCAGTAGTAGTAGTAATGGTGGCGTAGGTGGTAGTACTAGTAGTAGTAGTAGCAGTAGTGCGACAGTTGGATCTGATCAACCAACTTCACTCTTAAATTTTGCCATTTCTGAATTAGTAAGTTGGAACAATTTCTGTTTTTTTTTTATTTCTTATTACATCATCATAGAAATGTTCCTTCCAGCATTACTTCAAAATGATCACTATTTAGTCCGGTTCCGGAATTCTTCTTTTACATTTACAGGTAAATACGGAACAAAGCTACGTTCGTGAATTACAGTCTATCGTTGATTTCTATATTAGGCCATTTGAAGCACCTGAAAATGAGCATTTAATAGCATCACATCTAAGGGATCGTTCTGATATCTTATTTGGTAATATTTCTGACCTGGTTAGTCTTATTATTCCTTATTTCACTAATAGCTTCATTTAAAAAGTTTGGAAAATTGATATAATACGAATAACTTACTGTCATATAATTATTATTATTATCATAATTAGTATCGTTGTAATTTGATAAATTATAATTTATTAATTTTTTTTTTTTGCAGTGAATTAATAGTTTTTTCTTTCATTAATTTTTTTACATTTCTCAAGTTAAATTTTCAGTTGAATTTTCACAACAACTATCTTTTGGCTGATTTTTTGGCTGCGGGAAATTCAGTAGTCGAAATATGCCGATGCTTTCTCAATCATCGTAATAAATTTCTTCAACTTTATCATCGTTACTGTCAAAATAAACCATTGGGAGAAGCTTTACGACGGGAACAACAACCAGATGGAGCTGTTGCTAAATTTTTTATGGTCGTCTTTTTTTAATCTTTACTTTTACGTTTATTACATGTAATACTTTTTAATCTGACATTTAAAAGGGAAGAGGAAAAAAAATAATGATGATTACATAAAGATGATATATATATGTATTTGTCATTTGTCAGTTTTTTTTCTTTACACACATCATAAAAGTTATAAAGTAAGTTAAGATAATGAAGCGTTAACTCATGAAATAGTAATTGTATTATTATGTTAATTTGCTATAAATAATAATTATATCATTATCTTAATCTACTGTTTTAGATATTTAATCAATTTTGATTTCAGGAATGCCAGAAACGTGCTGGACATCCATTACCATTAAGTGCTTATTTATTGAAACCGGTACAAAGGATTACCAAATATCAACTTTTGCTAAAAGTAATTGATTAGGCTGACGATTAATTAGGTTTATAATTGAGCCCTTCCCTCGCCAATCCTTGTCCCATTACCTGATGCACTAATTTTTGGTATAAGAATTTCCCCAGCATTAATTTGATTCAATGAAATATCAGTTATTGCATTTGGAAGTATAAGTGTGATTTCAGAATGACAATGAATTAATTAATTTTCTACTAGGATTTAAGGTTCTTAGATCATTTTCCATTCATGCTTCTTCTACATTTACTGAATCATAGCACTTTTGCTATTGAATAGTATCAGTTGATCATAATGATAAATTTACATATACTGTTATTTGCAGGAAGTACATCGTCATTGTGCTGATCAGGCTAAGCCTCATGTTGATGAAGCTTTATCCTCTATGCTAGATCTATTGACTCAGCTTAATACCGCCATGCATCAATTGCATATTGCTGGATTTGTAGTAATTACTATTATTTTTTTCTAATTGTAATAATGAAAAATTAACTCTTCATGAGAAATATATAATAATACTAAAATATGCAAATTAATCAATGAATTCATTTTAGGGTGATCTCTGTCAAATGGGTGCATTAAGACTTCAAAATGAATGTGACATTTATGCATTCAAGAAAAGAACTCGTCGTCTTAATAAGGCTCAACGTCGACATCTGTTCCTATTCGATGGTGGTCTGTTATTTTGCAAAAAACGATCGCAATCTGTGCCATATGCTTCTGAATATTACGAACATAAGTTATCTATACCAGTAAGTGATAATTATTGGTTTACTTTTTATCATTAGAATTACTTTAATCAGAAACTTTTATAATTTCTATTTTTCATATCTTCTATAAAATGTTTGTCTTGACTTCAGACATGCAGTCTTGGTTTTTCGGAAACATCAAAGACATCATCTGTACGTTTTGAAGTTTGGGATGAGACGAAAAGTGAAGCATATGTTGTGCAACCTATTGATGAATCTGCTCGGATAAAATGGATACAACGACTTTACAAGTAATATTTATATTTTCGCACGTACGTGTACATATACACGTGCTATTTCGTAAGTTATAAATATATCAAACTATTTATATTGATCTTTCCATGAACAATTGAGGTGAAATATCATCTTGAATGTTGCAATTTTAGAAATTATCAAAGTAAATAACTCATTGTTTGTTGATTTAAATTAATTTCGTAAAAATCCATAACGATATTTTGAACAAATTTTGAATTTTACATTTGAAAGGGAAGGGAAACGAAAAAAAAATGGGATTCATTATTTTAGGATAGTTGGTGAACGTGTAACACATCGAGATCGACTGAATCAACAGCATCGACCGGCTCGTCCACAGTCTTGGGCTTCTACAATTTCCACTGATAGTATTCGTTCTTCTGATACAACCACAGATAGGTAGATTAATTTACCTGAAATTAAAATTTAATAAAATTTCCGAGAATTTTTTTAGACAAATTAGGAGATGTTAGTCTTTTCAAATAAAGCAATAATTTCAAAATCATTTTTCATGATATTATGATAATTAATGAAATAGTAATTGTAGTAGTGTTGTGGATGGAAATGGAAACAATCCAAATGGTACATGTTGCTCATCACCCTCTTCTGGATCACCAACATTTGTTCCGGCTACATCGGATGAAGATCCGGATAATAATATCAGTACAACTGATCAGCTACAAACACGATCATACAGTTGTCCTGAGGTTAAAATGTTTTTCAGTTTCATTTAATCTTTGAGTGAATATACGACAAGCGTATATATATTTCCCTATGGTGGTAATAAGTACTATGTCTTATCCTGATACTATATATTCTACTATTATATTTTTAATATGTATCCGAAGTTGTAAATAATCATTCCTGTCATTATTATTATTATTATTATTATTTTATTATCGTAATTATCTTTGTTTTAGCTTCTCATAATTATTGATTTTCATAATTGGATTATTCGGTAAGTAATAGATAAATGATCAAAAGTTAAAACTTGTCGCCAAATTTGAAAATTTTCTAATTATCATTTTATCATTTCTTGTATATTTCAGGATTCTCTAGAAGGTTTATTATCATCATCACCAACAACAACAACAACAATACCATCGTCAAGAGTACTAAACACGATAATACCATCCTCAATATTAGCAAAATCAATAACAGCAACAACAACAGCAACACCACTGAATACTATTGTTGAAAGTTCTTCTTCCACCGAATTATTTGCAACAATTTAATATGCTTCCGTTTATTTCATAGTTTTTTTTCTTTTTCACCTCTTGCTAATTAATCTTTTCTCATCTTTAGATCAATTGATAGCAATTTGTTTAAGATATTCAGTAGGCAAAAAAAAAAAATGAATGAAGGAGAACAACTTAAAAGATTATTTAAAATAAAACAAACAAACACCAAATTTCTTGTTTTGTTTACAAAACAATCTTTTTCGTTTTTTTTATAAGTTTGTCCAGTATTCATACAATAACACTTCCTTTCTTCCTCTCTCTCAAATTATCATTTTAAGCATTTAAAGTGTAAAGAAAATAGATGAATTTCAATTCATTTATAGTACTGGTAAAAGAATGATCGCATCAAAAGAAGCAAGAAACAAGTAAAGTGTTAACAAATTAGATTTCACTATTTCATTGAAGAAGCATTTATTTATACATTAAGGGCTATTGTGCTCATTACTTAGGTGTATTATATCTAAACATTACTGCTATATATTCGTTCTTTGTTTCAATTCAATTCAATTCAATTGCAATCCCTGGTGATTTTGTTTCGAATTGTTGTTACCAATTTATTATTATGTTTGCTGCATTCCTTGTAATTTTTTCGTTTATTTATCTTTATTTATGTATATTTCACTATTATATTGAATATATGTATACATATATGTTTCGCTCTATTGTTGTGCTATAAAGTGTAAATGAAATGGATGAATTATTTCATTATTATTAAAATCTGCAATTTGTGCACCATTTGCTTATACAATAAGAATTACGTACTCTCACCACTCGTTTATCCTAGGTGCTTTTTTTGTATGTGCTATTTTTGCTCATACAATAGGGATCCCATTATACATATGGAAGGAGAATATGATAACTTGCTATTTAATTCAAAATTTGCTTTTATAACAAGAATTTGATATTACAGTTATTTGTTTTTACAATAAAAATTTAATATTATAATTATTTGCTCCTACAATAAGAATTCAATATGAGAATTATTGGTTCATGTAAGGATAACAGCTTGTTATTTGCATTAGAATGGTATCTTAACTTCAACAGTCCTCGTTGATAAATATTGTAAGTTGTAAAATAAATCCTCATTGTGAGTCATCAAGTGGCCCTGCAACTATTATTAAATAAGTTAAAGTTAAAAGGAAAAATTTAACCTCAAATGAAGTTGTCCCATTTTTTTCCAGTAAAAAAAAAAAAAAAAAGTAAACAATTCCAGCAAATGGGTCATCAAAAAATGGATCTTTCCGTTTTCCTTGCAAGCGATCCACTTAACTTGTTTGCTTAACATGATGGTTCGACTGGTAAAGATCACGTATGTAAGAATTGCATCGCGTCATAAATATCACATGCGTGAGAAGTGCATCGCGTAATGAATATCACGTACAAGAGAACTGCATCGTCATAAATTTTACAGAAAAGTAGGGTAAATTACGAAAAGTATTGTTTAGCTCGATTAAATTCACTTATGTACTTCGTATTGAATGTCGTTAAGGAAAATAAAACAGCGTAGGTAAACATCTTAATCGACAATAAATCCACGTGTCTATTCTGACAAGTGCACGTACCAATTAAAGCAACAACATATAGCACGTATGACATGTATGGCTGTCAAACGTAACAAGCACATGAAATTCGCACGTATGGAATACTTCCAATATATATCCGCATTTAACATTTATCTGTCCACTTGTTAACTTCAACAACAAAAAAAGTAAAACACTTACGTATACGTCATAGCACACGTATTACTTTTAACTTATTCAAACTGAGATGAGATAATTTCATAAATTTCATACGGGCCAGCATTTTTAGTTGCTATGAATCAGCGTATTTCTCGTTACGTATGTAAGGTGTGGTACTGGTTTATTTGCGCTTAGATTAGAAGGTTATCAAGTTCTAGAAAAATTCTGTACAACTTAATGAACCATGAATATCACGTATGAACCAAGGTTCACGTGTGCAGAAGAAATTAGATTCGTCAAGTTGAACAGGTAATTAAATTTTATTCAAATTAATCTAGCTATCATTTATTCATTTGGTGTAAACTTATATTCCTATTAGTTTTTGAAATTTTACATTATTCTTTCTTTTTTGTGATTTTACATTTTTTTTGTTATAATTCTGCATTGCTTATTTTGCATCATTATTTTTTCATTTTTTTTTTTAAAGCAAATAATTCAATTTTCTTGTTTCTACATTTCTTTCACTGAATAATTTCAGCTTTGATTTCATCCATTTTTGGAATAAAAAGGGCGAATTTTCGGAAGCCGATAAAGCTCTTCTTTATAAGGTTAGATTTTTTAACTCTGTTAATGAGTAAAAACTGGGTAGTAGTAGGAGAAAGTTAGGATATTAATTCTACCTTTCTTATATGTGTTTAAAGTAATTTAAATCAATTTTCAATGTATGACTGACATTGATGCTAAATAAGTATTATGGTTATAATACACACGAAGTATTCTATCATAATGCTTTGTGTAGGATAACTAATAGGAATCGTTAATAGTATAAGCAACTGTTATAGAGATGATGTTAATAAAAGACTTAAATGTTTTTCTTTTTAGGATGGTATTAGATGTTTGTCTTTTTATTCTTTTTTTTTGTCCTGTAAAAATATGTAAAAGTGTGAGTGGGATGGAGAGATTTAGAAATTGGGTTGGGATTAATTGAAACTGAATTTTAATTGGAAAGATATATTTCATTAACATTGAAGTATTTCATATTGTAGGGTATACGGAACCTAGATAATGAATTAATCAAACTTGTTGAGGCGAAGGAGGAAGACAACACGAAAATTTATAAAGTGTATTTAAAAATTGGACATATTAGTTTGCTAGCAAAAGATTTTTCTAGAGGTATGTTTATTATATTTATTGTTTTGATCATGAAGTGATGGAATTATGAATTGGAGATATGGATTCAGTAAATGAATTCCTATTATTATTACATTTATATGGCATAATCGAAAGCATTGCTACGAAAAGACTCAGATTAGTCTGACTTATTATTATTTGGTACTGAATAAAAACTGTAGACAAAGAATGTATGCAATAATACGTATCGTAAGTGCTTCTTTTTCAGCGTTATCAGCTTATCAGAAAGCTTATAATCTAAACAGAGATGGATTTTGGAAAGAACCAGCTTCATATTTTGGTCTCGGAATGGTTTATTTCCATTTTAAAGCATTTGAAATGTAAGTATTACCAGTGCTTAGTTATAGTTGTCACAACGTTTTCTAATTAAAAGTGGAATAAGCAAAGCCAAGGACCAGCTATATTTCCAGCTGTTTAAATTTAATGAAATTAAGTTGTAATATGATTAGAAGCACAGTTATCACTTATAATAAGCACTCTGCACGGATTATATGTCCTTCGTTATTTATATGTTATTCTCGTTTTAGATCTCTTTTACTTACGTTTTGGTTTCACTAATGATAGTAAATGTGGAGAATATTGGATATGAGGAATAATGAAAATGATTGCAAAAAAGAGTGCCAAAAGAGAATAATTTCATTTCGTTTTTCGAAATTGGAGGGATAAGATAAGAAACGGAAATTCCCACATGTGATCATATCAACAATTATTGCTTGAAGCTCCAAAAAGTTTTCCCATGTTTTATGTTCTTTTTTGCTAACGTTTTGTACACAGTGATCAGTGATCATACTTCTTTTTCTCCCCTCCTACTTTCTTTCATTTCTTCATTTGCTTAATTCAAGCCATCTTAGTGTAAATGACTTATGAGGATCTACGAATAAGACACGGAAAATTCAATGTTTTTGCAATTTGTTTAAAGGTGCTTAGCACGCTAAAAAACTTCAAGTTTTCAATATTGAGGTCTTTGAACTATTAGCCCTTTTTTTTAAAAAATAAAAATAAAATCTAAAAATATTCCTTCCCAAGTTTTTTCGGTGAAATTTTTGCAAGAGAAATTATGGAAAGGAAAGTTTGAGAAGTATTTCCGAATTTCAATGTTTAAAAAAGTTACACTAAAAGATTTTTTATGAACAAGAAAATGTTAGTAAAAATTTTTAGAGTTAGAAGTTGAATTCACAGAAATTGCAACCGTACCGTTTTATTAGTCAATTCATTCAATTCCTCATTTCATAACGTAAAGGCAGCTGTCCTTTCTATTTTAAATGTTTAAATTAATGCGATTTAAACAGTGGGTACCGAAAATTTACTTGCAAATCTTCTAATCTGACAGATGGTCAGCGATAGTGGACTGCAGTGCTCGTTTGCCTTCATTTCTTCCTCATTTCTACATTTAATGCCTTTTTTATAATCATTAGTTGATTTTTCACACAGTTATTTGCATTTTCCTGATATGTTTTCACGCTATACATTCTAAATACTAACTCTATGTCCTTTTCGTTCTGCATCCCATTTCAACCTTTTTGTCTTAGCTGCAGACCAGAATAATCAGAGATCTTCAGCTGGTCACTCATTTCTCTTTCTTCGCTCTCCCTCCCTCCCAGGCTTGGATATTATCGAAGGTTGGGAAATGAAGGGTGAGATGAGAAGTGTCCCTCACTCATCCTCTACCTCACACTTTTTTTCTTCTTTGACCTGATCGATCGGCTTACTATTATTCTGCGTGTCCCACATCCCAAACATGCGCTGTCCACTACTCGTGATGTTATGTCTGTATGTGTTGCGACCTATTGACCGTTGTAGCTACCCATTTATGAGATCACTTTGGCTTATATTTCTTTCAGTATATCAAAACGTCACAAATGTCGTACTATTCCTGATCCTTTTCTTTATTCTTATTATCCTCTGCCCGTTTTTACTTATTTACTCTTTTGGTTTCTAAGTTTCCTACCATTGAAATTGGGAAGATTTCCATCTTCGCTTATTTTGTCCATTTATTTCAATTTTTAATGATATTCATTTCTTATTACAATTTTCAAATCTTGATGAAACACAATCAGTCATTTATGCTTGGCGGCATTTGACAGCAACATTGTCCTCTTTTATTTCATTCGAACAGATGGGGCTTGTATATTGGAACACTTATCGTGATTTGTGATGGGATTGATAGGTAGTTGTGTTGCATTGGTTTCGATCGTCCTACCGCTATAAGAATAAGCGAATAAATAAAGAAATCGAATCCAAGTTTTTTGTTTATAAACTGATTTCCTAAGCAGAACTATCTCCATGCAAATGAACTGATCAATTTAAAGAATTTCAAAATCACCCTTTCTTTTCTCATGCTTACCGCAGGAAAGTATGTGTTGTTGAAAATATGTTGAACTGCTCTTATGGTGACAAGTTAACCTTTTCTCGTTCTACTGAACATTACTAATAAGAAATACATTAGCTTTCCGTTTGGAATGGAAGCACAGTATAATTTCAAAAGGATTTTTTGAAAAGCATAGAAAAAATAGGAATTTTACCCTCTGTATATTTCTTAATTCTGTTTTCTTTCGTCAAAACTTTCATGTCGTAAAATTTCCATAAATTTAAATATAAATCGAATTAGATTTAAACTCTGTGCTAGAGTTATATAGATGAAATTTGCATCACATGCTTATTGTTGAAATATTCTGTAACTCCATCATCCTTTCTTTTTAATGGATTGACTTAACAACAAATCATTGTAATTTACCTTGTCTAATTCCATTCAATTCAGTGGTTTTAGATATTAATTACTGGATAGTTCGCTTACTTAATTGTGTGCGAAATTTTTCTTTGCAAGTAAATGTCTCCATTTAATTTCAGTGCCGGTGAAGCATTTAATCGCGTTCTTTACTCACATCCAAATCACGAATTTACGGTTGAAATATATTCCAGATTGGGATTTATTTGCAAGAATTTGGAGTTTTTCGAACTTGCCATTAAGGTTTTGTTTTTTTCCTCCCTGGTTTAATCTCTTATTAGAGTTAGGAGGTGCTGATATTTTATTGCTTCACTTCCGGTATCATTCAAAATCATCAGCGCATTAGTAACGATTCTATTGAGGTGGTAAAACATTCAAATACTGTTATTCAAATCCCATGTTCCGCAAACGTTGTTCTCTGTTGGAACCCATCACTTCAATGTCAGATGTACATGGCTGCATCTTACAATAAAACAAAACTTAATGGAATAAATGATTCGTAAAAGAGAAGTTTTTAGTCCTTCTTTTTTTCCATCCGCAAAAAAATGTTACTATTTCTTGCTTCACAACAGAAATTTGTGCCAGAATTCTGGTGATTTGTAGTTATTTCTGCATTTGATCAGAAAAAAAAGTAACGACATTGGGCGGAAGTATGAGGAAAATTTTAGGGTGCGACATTTAATCACTTTGTTTAGTTCTTTTGAATACGATAAAATCATCTTACGGCTGATGATTTTCATGAGGTGTTAATAATTACTCAGACATTTGATTATCATTACGGGTGATATTATGAGTAATGAATAAAGTAAGGTGAGCATAAGAGATACCAACAAATAGATAAGACTTACATAGACCAAATTAACCAGAAAAGTTAAACTCATCTTAATGAAATCACAGCAATTTTGGTAATCGAAGTTAAGCTGATGTCACTTACTGCTGTATGCGCACTTAATACTAGTAATTAATTAGACGTTCGTTTGAAAACATTTTGACGATTGTTTTCATATTTCTATTAAATAATATGAACTTTCACTCGTCAATTACATTTCGATGTGTTATAGTCGTCTGAGCATTCATTATCTTTTGAGTAATTTATTTTGGCACAGAGGGTTCAAATTATTCATTGCAGCACTTCACAGCAGCATTGAACGACAGCCGTGAAAGCACATTCCTGACGAAGGTTGAATTGCGTTTTAACATAGCTCACTGCTACGACATCGCTGGTGACCTTGATCGGGCAGCCATCGAGTATCGAACAATCTTAACTGACCATTCCGTTCAACTGACGAGCAGTTTACAAGCGCAGATCCTAAGACAACTTGGTAATGTATAATGTATCATCTATTTTCGTTTCTTTTTCTCTATTTACCTTTTCCTCTACTTTTTCGGTAGTGGCATGAATATTTCCCAGATATATTTCATGAAATGGATATGTGACGTCATCTATTTGATAATATCTGCGGAAGTTGCATATTTTTTTCAACTTTTAGTTTTCAATTTGAATTTTTCGTTTTGTAAGGTCAAATATTTGTATATTGCTGTTATTCCTGAAAGGTGGTGAGCCGCATTGTTGCGATGATCCGTAGCTGACTGATGATCATTTGCAAAACTTTTTCATATGTTTTTGTTCGAGGATTTAACAAAGCGAATTTTTAGGTTTTGGTAGTAGCGGTTTTGACGTTGTGGAATATGTTATGTTGCAGTTATTACAAGAGCATCGGAAGAATGTTTTCGAACAATTTTATGTTGCATATTTCAGGTTGGTTGTGCTACCGCGAAGAGTGTCCGCCGGCACAGAGACCTCAAAAGATTTTCGAGGCAGAAAATTATCTAATTCAAAGCAAAGAACTCGAACCCAATTGTGGGAAAACATATTATTATTTAGGACGTTGCTACGGTGAGCTACAAGATAGAGCACACGACGCATTTGTTTATTACAGGTTAATTACTAATGATATTGCATTTAAAAACAAATTCATTACCAAATTTTTGAAATTATATACTTGTATGTCGTGGATAAATTTGCTTATGGAACGGGATTTTGTCATAAATTATAATATCTTTAACTTTAACAAGCTTTCTTAATTTCTCAAGAAATATAAACGATGTTGGTTAGTAACAAGATTATCCTTACCAAAAAGTAGGATAAGTACTTTTCTGGATACTAAAATATGGGCAGAGTTAAAGGGTTAAAAACTATCCTATACTGGATGAGAATTTATTACTTTAACTCGTAAATACGACTTTATGCAAAAGGCGTAATTAATCAGTGCTTTGTTCATTTTGGTTATATTTTTCAATATTCATCATATTATTTTGTCAGAATTAGAGGCTTGTCATGCCACAATAAATTTAATACAGATAGATCTGTCATGAAAAATTTTCACAAACTTTAAACTTTACATTTCATTTCTAGGCATTCAATTGATAAATCAGAAGCAGATGCGGATACGTGGTGCAGTATTGGTGTTTTATATCAGCAACAAAGTCAGCCAATGGATGCATTGCAGGTTGGCTGGTTTCTTTAGCTTTTATTTACAAATAATTCCAATTAATCTTTGTCATATGTTCTAACAATTTGAATCTGAATTAGAAAACCGATATTCGAATATGGAAAACTAACTGTCATGAATTACTGGACAAATAAACACTGCTATTGTTCTTATTGTTATTTTATCACTCTTATTATTTCTTGTTTGTTTTAACTTCAATTTCCGCTGAAACTTTAAGACCAAAACTTTAGTTAAAAGTTAATACTCTGAAGTTTTAGCTTCACTTCCCGGTTGACTAGATTCATGCCAAAATCTTTAAATTTATCTATCTAATTTTTAGGCATTTATATGCGCAGTTCAATCAGATCGTGAACATAGTGCAGCTTGGACAGATTTAGGACGATTGTACGAAGTTAATTGTCAATTTTCGGACGCACTCCATTGCTTTAAGAAAGCACTGAAGTGTCAACCAGGTTAGTTTGATTTTTAAAACGGAAATTTAGTTCTGAAATTTAAAAAATTTTCAATTCAGTTTCTTTTTGATCGGTACAATAAATAAGAAACTTAATTTAGGAGCTCCAATAAGCCAGCAAAAAGATGAAGTAATAAGCTTTACTGCCATCAATTTTTTGTTGTACTGTTACTTTAAATCACGCCGTGCTGTATTAACAGTACCCTGCTGATAGTGGTCATTTCTGCTAGATTGTAAAAAAGTAAAATTTTTATCAGTGACTTGAGATTTAAGGATTTATTTCCAGCAGCACCGGAAGCTTTGAAAGCAAGAATACGTGTCCTTGAAAAGGAGCTGCATCCATCATCATTACTTATTGGGAATTTACGATCTCTGCCACCCAGCGAGTAATTCGTTCAATGTTATGAAATTTTAGAAATCATAGAGGGTGGCTCCTAAAATATTTTCGCATTAGAAACTTTCTTACTGTTTCAGATTACCTGGTCTTAACGAAGCTTGGAGGCTTTCTATTCCTGCGGAACTGAGTCAGAGACAGGAAGAATTCTTGAAAGTATGATTTTTATTTCTGTAAATTGCACATGATTTTTCAATATCGAATGTAATATTCCCTTATTTTCTTGCTGAAGTTGCTCCGGTTGCGGTGAAAAGCTAATGCTACTAATCTTGTATTTTCGAATTTTTTGGATTTCAATTTAAAAAGAAAAAAAATAATTTGAAAATTTTTCCAGCAAAAGCAGCAGCGTTATCGTGACGGTAGTCCGCTACTTTCTGCTACACTAACATTACCACAGGTATTTATATATTTTAGTTTGCATAACAATGTATAAGCACATTGTGCTTATGCACAATTATGCACAATTAAGGCTGTAATATTGGCAGTTTTTCGAATTGACTTCATGCTATCAATTCAGTTAATGTATTTAATTAAAATCCGCATGACACCAACATGACATCTTCTTATCATTACAGAATACAAACGAATCAGTGGAAGTGCAAATTCAACTGATGAATATTTTACGCGCAAATAAAGCGGAAATTACTGAACGCGAAAATATTTTATTGGAGACACTGGAAAGTAAATACGGAAAGGTTAGTCCAAGATTTTTACTTACCGAAATTCGTAAGATTTTGGAGCTATAATAAATCTTCCGAATCAATATTGATTAAAACTCCACTGTCTAACTGCAGATTTTAATGTATCGTTTGTTTCTTAATCTTACATGAAATATGTTGAAGCTCTAACAAGATTATTGGATTACTTCCTAGATTAATAAAAATGGTATCGAGCAATCGATAGAAGCACATGTTGAACAAGATTTTGTGAATGGTGGTATCAAAAAGGAAATACCAGCAGATGGTAGCTTATTACTGTATTTGCAAATTTTTATTTCTAAGCAGAGGCCTTCCAAATTTCTGAACATTTAAATGAAATCCCTTAGATATTGTTTTCGATTTTTTAAATGTTCTGTTACAGGTGATGCTGTAGCTTCTACTTCATTAGAAATTCATTTGACTGAAAAAGGAACCAACAGTGACGATAAAGATATTACGAAAGAACAAGTAACTTATTCATATTTGCAATCTAATGATTATATGGTATTGGGGAGAAAATAGAACATTTGTTATTTTTGCAAAGTTTCTGAAGTATTATGAACAATGGATTTCTATTTTAGGCAAAGCCAAGGAAAGAAG